CAGTGGCCTTCCCCAGGAGCTCTGGATGTTAATGCTGTTGCCTTGGACACTCTACTTTATAGAAAGCACAATCAACAATGGGATGAGTAAGTTTAATGTTTATTTTGATTCCCCTCTAGAGGAACAGAGAAACTGAAAATTATGTACTTCCCTCAGCACACTCTGAATCATATCCTGTCAATGTACAGTGTACAATCCTGTTACAATGTACAATGATCAACTGGTAAATAAAATCAATTTCTCTTGCTTACCACAAAAATTTCCTTCCTTTGGATTAATTTTAAAAAAAGAAAGAGAGAAAAAGGAACTATTGCTTTAGGAAAAAACTAAAGCAATCATTTGATTTAGGAAACAAACAAATGAAAAAGTGTTTTAAGAGAAGAAAGATTAACTGCCTGGGTTTTTCTAGAAAATGTTTTAAGTGTTGAAGATATCTAGTTATACCTTTAAATGTGTTGCTATTACATATTAATTGCTTTGCAGGAAAAGTTTTCAAAGTCTGGACCAGCTTTCAGCAGATGTTAGTCTTTCTCAATCTTCTCTGGATCCAGGTCACTCACAGGATGGGAAGCAGGATGGAATGAACATGTTAAATGAAGGTACAGAGCCAGTCCAGTGGCTTCCTTTAATTTTGTTCTTCATAGCTCTGAACTTCAGTCACTGTGAGATGAGTTTTCAGTGTGAAGAAAATATACATTGAAAAGCATATTTTTCATTGTTATGCAAAGTGTTTCAGAGTCTGTGGGGAAACCCCTAAGGACTCTGCTTCAAATAATTTTGGATTTATGAAGATACCCACCCCACTCCCCCAGTAAGTATAAGACTTTGTGCTGTGTTTAAAGCTAAGCTTCAAGTATGTTGCATATCTTCTTTTGCCATCACAGAACCAGTTGGCTCTGTTACAAGGAGGATCTTCTGACATCTTTCTGCTGTAATAAATGCTTTCATTTTGGTTCTTAAAAGAAAGATTAAAGGCAACTGGATTTGCAATTACCACTGTCATTCTTATATCTTACATTTAACATTTATCTGTGAAGATGCAGCCTAACTGTTTCCATTAAAATAGAGAGAGGAACATGACATGAACTGTTTATGTAAGTGTAATATACATACACATTTCCTTTCAAAATCTGTATGTTTATCAAAGCTTAGCTGCTCCATCTTGTGGGCAATTGTAAAAGCAGAAAATGATGGAAGACTTATGAAATAGTAGTATTTTCAGCATAGAACATAAATTAATATAAAAAATCCTTTTTGTATCTCATCAAAGCTTTAAATGGACTTGATAATACAGAGCCTTAGTATTACATAACTGTTAAAGTTTCTTGGGTTTAAAATATCAAGGATGAAAAATGTAGAATTTTTTTAAAAACACTGTAAGCAGTCTTAAAATCTAATTTAATTCAAGTTTGCTTAGAGAAAGTGAAACAGAATAAACATGGCTATTATAAAGGGTTCTTGTGCAGATCTACTTTCAACTGGTTTTTTGCAATGTTATTCACTCGAAGCTATGCTTTGTCTTATCTTCTGAAAATTAAAGTGTGGCAAAACCAGTGGTAATAATAGTTTAGGTTTTGATTTCAACACTGTCTTTAAAGGTAGCATACTATCTCGTTTCTAAATCAGTGATGTTCATTAGCACTAAAGTTTTAATGTAGTTTGTAAGACACAGTGATCCTGCTGTGGTATCTTTGGTCTAACTCTCAGTATGGCAGTCTTAACTAAATGATTGCAAATAGTAAATTTTCACACTACTCTATAATTCTTTGTAATGTAATTTATTAGCAGAGTTAGCACAAAGTAAGTTGAACAGGTATTCTGAGAAGGGAAGACATAAAATAAACAGAGAAATTGTCCAGTGCAGTTTCATATGGGTATGTTTCATGTTAGCTGTCAGCTGTATTTGGATGACAGGGCAGATGTTTGCACTGCTACTCCTGCACTGTGTGGCGTTTTCCAGTGGTTGGAGCCTAATGCATTTCAAATTACCAAGGTTTAAAAAACAAAACATGCTTGTTTTGATAGAAACAGATCCTGATCCAGTTAATTCTACTCCTTTCTGTGGGATTTAAAATTAGATCTTTGGTGCTGACATTGTATTAGTAATGTCACTTCCATTTATACACAATGGATTTTATATACAATTGCCTTCCATTTATATACAGTGGACAATTTATATACAATGAACTGGTGCTGGAATTAGTAACTTCAGTTCACTGTGTAGTCAGTGGAGCCTCTGGATCTGCCTCTGCAGGAGACTGACTACAGCCCAGCCTGTAGTGCACAGGTAGGGATCTCTGTACCACCTGGACAGGGAAGGTGTGGCATAAATTACGTGTCTTCCCAATGGCATTTATGAAGCATGCCTGTGCTGAAGCAGTAGTATGTAACTCATAACAGTGTAGATGAAACTGCCTTTTCTGTTCTTTCTTTTTTTTCTGTTATCTTGTACTGTAAAAATTATTAGCTTAATTCTTGTTTTTCTTAACAGGGAAGGAAGACACTCCATCTTTGCTTGGTCTTTGTGGTTCTCTTACATCAGTAGCAAGCTACAAGTCTCTCACAAGTCTGAAATCAAGTGAATATCTTGCAAGTCCCACAACAGAGATGACAAGTCCAGGCTTAACACCATCTTGAGATGCACATAAGAAGGAAGAGCTTTGTGTTGTATGCATTTGGTTTATGTTCCATAAAATGACTTGCAATGAAGACTGCTAGTTCTGAGTTAAAAAATAAGCTGCTTTTTCTTTTCCTGGTTACCTGTGTAATTTACAAATTCTGTCCATTTTCATTCACCTTTTTTTCCCCCAGAGGACTTTTCAGATTTTCTGTTTTAATCTGGATTTATTTAAAGCTCTTTGTCAGGTACAGAATGTATAATCCGATGCTTATGAATGATTCTTAAAATGAAAGTTGGAAAACAGCCCCCTACTAAATTGCCATCAGGTCTGTTTCTCCTTGCACTGGCCTGGCCCTGCTCTAGCCACTACTTTTCTGCAGTGCTTTAAATATCTATCAACTCTTGCAGAATAGACAGGGAATCCTTAATGCCAGTCTTTATAGGCAAATAAATATTTACCTAAAATTCCAGCTTTTCATCTGTGTATGTTGTGTAGGACCTCAATAGCATATTTAACCTATCAACAGCTTTTCTCAAGTTGACTCAGTGTTAGGTTTTGCATTCCTGTTAGTATCATGGCACTGAAGAATCACACTGAAACACTCTTGCAAACTCTTGAAGTTGCATGTGAATAACAAATGTAACTTGATCATATAAATCAAGCATACTTAGCAATTTTCAAATGGTGAGGAAACTCACTAAATGCTTTTGAGTGACCTGAGTTACAGATAACCTAATATTATATGAGAAATTTCTTGCTGGAAAGATAGAGACTAAGGATAGTGGGGTTAGCACCTTGGGAAGTTTGAATTCTGTGTTTATTGGCAAGATCCCAAGGAGAGTGAAAAAGGGGAAACAAAGACAAAGTAATGGCTGTATTTCCATGTTAAAGACTTTTCTCATCCCTGTAGTAGTGCAATAGGTATTTTTCTTGGTAAGATAATACAGCAGAACTTCTCAAGTCAGTTTTCTCAAATTACTTGCCATTGATTTAAATTATTGATAGGAAAAAAAAGAAAAAGGACACATTTTTTAAATGTAACTAACTTTCCAAATCACCCTACAGTTTCAAAGTTTGCAACTAAATTTTTTAATTGCAAACTATATTCTTAATTCTTTGTAAGATACGATCTTATCTATGAATTTTGCTAATCAAGGTAATGCTTAACACTATGATTAGTAACTTTTTAAACAAAAGTTAAATGCATGTAAGTATGTTGTATTTATAAGTGCTAGGGAAAATGCTTTTTTGTGCCAAAGAAGTTTCATAAATTGTTTACATGAGTAGCTGCAATACAGGACAGATTTTTAATTATTGCTTACTCTTAGGTGTTTACAGTATGTCACTACATTCTGTACAGTTTTAGTTGATTTGCCTCTTGTGATGGTATCTTGGCACTACTACTAAAAACTGGTCATCATAGGATGGGCTTGAAAGAAACAGGATTCATTCTTACCTTTACTGGAACTACAGGGAATGTAGCCTTTGTAAGTATAGGCTTCTCTGGAACTAATGGCACTGTTGGATTTAGCTGGAGGAGGTTCAAAATACATATCCTCAACTCTCTAGTCCATGCTGCTAGAGGTCACTGCATCCATGGCAGGGTACACAACTACTGATGCTGTTTTAATGCAGAATTTTAGAGCATTTTAGCAAAATCCACCAGATCTTGTCTTTAAAGCCCTCGTGTGCCCACCCAGTTAATTTCTCTGTAATAAACTGACAGTTAAATCCTGTCATACACTGTCAGAATGCCCACTACTTCATGTAACCTTTTTTTTGTTATCACATTAAGCACCTGTTCTTTCCTGGCAGTTGAGTAACATTATTAAATATAAATTTGTAAACTAGAGATGCATTTTTACTATAAATAAAATGAGGGAATCTGGATTCCACAAGTTAACAAGCTACATCAAGGTACAGTGATTTAATGGGTCTTGTTTGCTGTTAAACACTTCTCACCTTACATCAGTATTTTGGAGGGGGCTATAATCATGATCTTCAGTCATGTTCACTGATGGCTCTTTTCTTGGAGCTACTAGTGTGAAATTCATGTGTCATTCAACTGAAGTCTTTTATGTAGTCAGACACCACTGAGTTTCTGGGTTTTGTGCATGGGAAATCAGTTATGTGTGTCTTTCTCAGTTCTAGACATTAATCATTTAAAAAAAAATTAAAATGCCAAAACTGTATGTTTTGTTGCCTTGATGTTCCATAAAGGTTGCATGTAAATTAAACATTTTGTATCATCACAAGTTACAAATTTTTGTCTTTGTTTTAATCACGCAAGATAAAATAAGACCATTCAGTAAATTACAGTATTACTGAGCTTATAGCAAATTCTTTTCTTGCAAAATGGGGAAAGTCTGGTTTTGTTACTGGAAGTCATTCAGTGTCATCCAAAATCTGTTGTTATTCTTTTCTCTTAGGCCTTATTTTGTCAATTATGTTCAAAAGTCACAGTGGGAGACCAGTGTTTATTATCTCCTCTGGCAGCACCTCTTGCCTGCACCATATGCTGTAACACGGTACCTAACATCTTTACAACTGCAGTATTTTTCAGTGTGTGATGAATTTTCACCAAGACAGAACACATGCTGGGGTACCTTCTTCATAGTAGGATAGGACTGAAGTCCATTTCTTGGGTAAAGCACACCTGAATGTCAGTGTCTTAATTACCTGAATACTGAGTTGCTTTTGCATCAGCACATTTTTTTGTTAAAATACACAAAAAAGTAAAATTCAACCCCTTCATTGAAAATGCATGGAAAAAGGGAGGTAGAGTGAAGGTAGTTAAAAAATAATTTAAAAAAAATCATACAGAGGAAGCTCTGTAACTGAAGTACCTATGGGCAAGTGAGGAGCTGCAGCTGCTCATACCATGAGTGTGCAGCACACTGTGGTCGACAGCAGCAAATTAAATATGCTCTTCCCTTCAGAGAGACGCACGGCTGAGTCAAAGAGGCATGGAACCACCTGTCTGTGCCAGCACACCTGGCCTTCCAAGACAGGTGATCCCATAAAACCTGTGTATGGCTTGGCCCTGCCCGGGAGTGTTGTGGCAGTGACAGCTTGCACCTCCCAAAAACATGTGAGGGAGTGTTTCTCCAGAGCACCTGTACAGGCTGTTGTCTTCAATGCCTGGATGTGCTTTAATTTTTTAAGAGTATTACCTTAAACAAAGGCCACTGCAGTCCCTATCACTGTAGTCACTAAGCTCTCTTGGTTTCTAATGAGCGTGAGTATTTTTTCCACTTTGACATAGGGAATTTTTCATTTAAAATAAACAAGAAAAGAAGCTGTTTTATAATGTGCACTTACACAAAATATAGAGCTGCAAACAACAAATATGCCCAGAATGAAACATGTATCAAGCAGCAAGAATAAATAAGCATTTATCGAATTCATTCTGTATCAACCTCCATATTGAGAAATAAATATATCATACAACTGGAAGCGCAAAACATTTTTAAACAATAATTTTAAATATCCAGACTAAAAATTTAACACGGTGGCAGTCGTTATTCTTCATTGCTCTGTCCAGGCTTAAATTCTTTTTTTTCTCCTCCTTCCTTTCTTTTTCCTCTTTAGCTGCAAGAGAAGTCACAGAATCTTCAATGGTAGTTTAAGGGTGATGTGTATTTTCTTAGTCTTAATAAAAAAAGTTAATTTATCCTTCATGAAACAGTTAAAAATGAAGTTGTATTTAGTTACCAAATGTAATGGTAGAAATTCACTGTGAATTCTAGAAAACATCTTCACAGATTAAAATTTGCACAACTTTCACCATATACTTCATACAATCGGATGAAGGAGAATTAAGGACGTTGATTCATTTTTTCATTTAAATGAGAAAAGAAAGATTTTCCATATTCGTATGTGCTGATCATTATGGCACAAGCAGGAGCAACTTTACATAGCCGTGGAATAATACCTGCCCAGAAGAGAAAGGAAGGTATTCACTATCATTTGTTTTCAGACCAAGTGCTGTAGTACAATTTATTGGTCACAATACATTGATACCATAGTATATCAGCGTAGAACTCAGATTGTATGTGTCTGTGTTCCTCAGAATACTAAATTTACTGGCTGTAGGTACTGCCAGAGTAATAACCTTATGCTCTCAGCTATACCATCCTGTGGGGCCTGCCTGCCTCGAAACTGTTGTGTCTCTGCCCCTTCTGACTCTCCATGCAGGTGGAACACCTGGACCTGGAGGGTTCCTGTGCTCCAGCACAGAAGAGGTGGCCCAAGGGCAGGGTGTGCCCACCCCTAAGTACCAGTGCAAGCTCATGTGGGACAGGCAGAGGCTTATGACCTCTCAGGTGTGAAAAAAGAGGTTCATGAAGCCCTCAATCCTGACATGTATAAAGTCAGGGAGGAAAGGGCTCAAGTACCATGCTGGGCTGTACCCTCTGGTATACAGGTTTGTGGCTCAGCCCTTCAAGCCAATTCTTAAGTAAAAAACCTGCTTCCCTTGCCACTATCTCTTAAAACCTATAGCACCTCTACTAAAATGGAAGAATCCTGTTCAAATCTATAATGATAGAATTTAAGTGTTAAATGTGTCTCATTACAGTCAACTGTGATCTTGTCAATGGAGTTTAGAAAGTGATTAAGTTTACCTAGAGATAGGAAAATAAGGCTGAATCCACTTTTCCACACACAGCCAGCCATCTACTTCCACTTGAAACAGAAGGACATCTGTGGGGAGCTAGTGCAGATGAGACATGGGTGGAAAACTTGAGTTGCTTAGGAACAGCAGCAAGAGGCCAGGCAGTCTGCCCCTGGTCACCTTAGCTATGTGTGGAGAAATGAACTAAACTACTGGCTGATCAAGAGAACATCTCTAAACTCTGCTACTCACGTGTCAAGACCTCCATGTAGGTATCCTAATCTATTAACTAAATTCCACCTACATTGGATAATAATACTGATACTTCGTGGTGTCTTGCATTCTGCTGGCATTGGTGCTCTAAAATATGCAGATCCTGTTTCCCTTGACATTCCTGGCCAGACTTAATTCTATCAGAGCTTTAGCCTTTCTTTCCCAAGCTGATCCCTGGCTGCTTGGACCAGTCTATGACAGGCTACCTGTCCTTGCTTCCACCCTCTATAGGCTTGCTTTTTGCGTCTGATTTTGTCCAGGAGCTCCTTGTTCCTCTATACAGGCCTCCTGGAGTTTTTGTCTCACTTCCTCTTTATTGGGATACATCATTGCTGAGCCCGGAGGAGGTGATTCTAGAATATAAACTGGATCTCTTGGGCCTCTCTTCCCTCCAGGGCTTTGCGCCATCGTACTCTACCAAGCAGATCCCTGGAGAGGCCAAAGTCTGCTCTTCCGAAGTCCCAGGTAGTGAGCCTGCTGTGCACCCTTCTCATTGCCCCAAGGATCTTAAACTCCACCATTACACAGTCACTGCAGCCAAAGCTGCCCTTGAGATTCCCATTCCCCACCAGCCCCTCCTTCTTGGTGAGAACAAGGTCCAGCATAGCACCTTTCCTTGTTGGTTCCTCTGTCACTTAGAGGACATTTTCATCAACACATTCCAGAAATCTCCTGGATTGCTTACGCCTTGCTGTGTTGTCCCTCCAGCAAATATTAGGGTGATAGGAGACCCCCATGTGGACAGGGTTTGTGAATGCAAGGCTGCTCAGTCTTCCTGGTTGGGCAGTCTATAGCAGACCCCCACTATAACGTCACCTGTCTCTGCTCTCCCTTTAATCCTGACCCACAAGCTCTTGGTCAGCTCTTGGCCCATCCTCAAGCAGAGCTCCATACACTTCAGCTGGTCATTGATATAGAGAGTGACACCTTCTCCTCATCTGCCCTGCCAGTTCTTCCTAAAGAGTCTATATCCTTCCATTTCAACATTCCAGTCATCTCGTGCTCACCTGCTGACCTGTGATCCCTCTCCAGGCTCTGGACTTGTGGGCACTGGCATCACATTGGTGAGAGTGGGATGGATTGAGGTTCTCCTCCCCTTTTAATTTAAAGCCCTCCTCACCAGCTGGACAAGCCTATGGCTAAAGATGCTCTTCTCCTTCTCTGACAGATGGACCCCACCAGCCCCCAGGAGATGGGGTTTCTCAGTGTGAGTCCTATGGTCTGAAGCCCCTGAGCCCCTGGGCTGTGGCACCAGTCCTGTAGCATTTGTTACAGCACAGTTGTAGGTCCATGTAAGAGACATTAACAGCTGTAGTCTGAGTGTGTTACTGCTCTACACAGAAGTTGGTCTAAGGCTCAGCTTTCGTACAGAGCTACAATATTGTATTTCCTGAGAGACAGTAGATACAATATAGAATAATCTAAAGATTGTACAGAAATCTTTAAGCAGTAAAGACTTGATAAATTTTTTATTTGAATAATGTTCTTATAGAAAGGCAAATTTTCTAAAACCTGAATTCCTGAGGGATGCTAAGCTTTACAGCCAAGAAGACCTTCCCATTAGGATAGCAATGCTTCTTCCAGCTCCACCTTGCAGGCTGCCCCTAGCACTAATTGAACTCACAGCAGTGCACCCCAAAGGTCTCCCAGGGAAGAGAGACATTCAGTTTAGTTTTGGAGAAATTTCTATGCATATGCCACAAAAAGTATCTGGTAGCTGCAGAGAGGAAATTAGGGTGAACAGTGTATACTTAACCTATCACAATATCTTCTGTTTTAATTACCATATTGGCAACTAGAAACACAAGTTGCCTTCTATGGCTACTTAGGACACAATGGATGAGAATGCAAGAACTCCAGCTTCTGGGAAACCAAATCTTTTCTTTCTGACAGAGCACGCCAAGTAGAAACCTTTGACAGAAATCTAGCAGGATCCCTGACAGCTGCTGCCAGATATCTACAGATCTGTAAAGAATTATTCCATTACATTCTCCAAGAGAATATTCAGTGATCTGGCTAAATCCACTGTGAATTACCAAAATGACTGGCAATTACCTCAGAGAGGAGTCAGACCCTTCTGGTCATTCCAGAAGTGCAACATTCCCTGACAGATGTTAAGAATTAAAAGAAATCCTCATTTTGAGGATGAGGTAACAATGGGGGACTTCTGCTCCAGTGCTGAATGTCACTTTTCTCGTCTTTCATGTCACATTTGTCAACTCTCAAAGACCCTCCGTTCTGGCCAGGGCAACTTGGTTATTCAATGGAAAAGACTCCTAAGCCTCATGAGGTCTCAGGAGTCTCCATGATCACTCCTTGATGACAGGAAGTCCTGATACAATTGAGCCATAATTTGAAAAGAAGGAGGAATAATATTTTATGCTGGACCTCTCAGGGACAACAATCTTTGTTGCTAGAGGTTTTGAGTTAGTACCAAGAATTAGGTCATTAGGCAGTGCTCACAGCTGCCAGGATTTTAAAAAGACATCAGAAAGTATTCCTGAGGGTTTATTTTCTGTTCTTTAAATATGCAGGGTTTAAATGGCAAAGATATCTTAGGATGGTCAGGGATACATCTATGCTTATCAGCACATAGTCCAGGGCTAAAAAATGATCTTTGCCACAGCTATCAAAACTACTAAAAGACAGTCTTCAAGACAGTCCCTGCAAGAAGAAAAATAAAATACATCAAGGAATTACACAGCTAAATGGGGTGTTCACAGTGACTTGATCATGTCTTACTGTATGGCTCAGAGGAACTGAAACAGTACCAGCTACAAAGAGAACTGTGCAGAACCTTGATAGGTTCAGTAAGGATAAGAAAGTCATGTAAGAGGGGTGCACTCATAGGAGTACAGATGACAGAAAATACAAGGAAAATTTAAAAACTATTAACTCATTAATTATTAACTTATCATTAACTCAATATATTGTCAAGATTGCATTTCTCCCTCTGTTTAAACATAAAAATTTAACAAATATCCTAAATAATGTTTCTAGTTTGCCAGAAAATTCAAAGGAAAAAATTCTTGGAGAATGGTTGTTGCATGACCTTGAATGTCCGAAATATTATACAATATTCAACATAATTACTCCCATCTAGCAAACAAACAAATACTAATATAATTGTCAAATCTTCCAGTCCTCTGTCAAAAACTCTGTTGAAGTTGGACTTCAGCTGAATGCATCATAGGACAGTATCATAGAATTATTTAGAATAGATGGAATCTATCCTGAGCCTAGTATTTCACAAGCCCATAACAGTATTTTATTCTGTAAATTCTTCAAAATACCTATTCCATTTTCAGACTTTTTGGGTTCTCGATAATGCATCTTCTTCAAAGACTAAGAAGGGAGACAAAAAAGTTTAAACTCTGATTCTGAGACAGAAAGAACCAAAAAAGTTGAGTACAGAAATTAGTATGAGATGGAGAACAAAAGTTAGGATGGCTATTCCTAAATATAGATGCCGCAACAGCAATGTCCGCTTTAAGATTTTTAGCACAGGACTAAAAACTGCATATAAGAAACTTTCTCAGAAAAACCTCTATCCTCTTGGTTGCAAACCTACAATCTATTAATTTTTCTTTGCACCAATTCTTTCTGAAAAACTTAAGAAATCAATCAAAGCTTAAATTTTTTTAAATTTGAAAAAAAATCATTTTCTGAACTGAATCTTTTAGCACCATTTTTCATTGCCAGTACAGACATACTTGTCAAGCCCAGCCCCTCTGCTTTTAAGATAAATTGTATCCATCTCAAACAGCTATATCTTAGTAACTTGTTAAGAGACTACCAAAATTCTCTCTGGATACATGCATGTCTGTTGCTTTATATATACAAACTATTCCATAACTGACAGTGTTCACAGAAATGGAAATATTACATGGAAATATACAATTTATGCATGTCAACATCTGTAATCACTTGGTAATGATTAAAAAACTCTCTAGTCCAATTTTTTTAGAGATATGAAAAGATTTACCAGCAAATAATCCAGTAATCCCATTGCTAGCGACAACTTTCCTCATAACTGCCCAGGTTGATGTAGAGTCCCTCTGTGGAACTTAATATAGAACAAGACAACAGTGAATCAAGGAATCCATACATTGCCATGCAAGAATATTTTTTGAAATCAGAGAGAGTCACAGATGTAATTATTAGGTTTAGTTCCTTTTCTGTTAATTTTATCCATTTTATTTACACAGTATGTTAAAATTATACAGTATGCAAATACACAAGTTAAAACAGCATGAGATGGAAAAGCTTGTAGAAACACCTGGAGTAAGATATATGAACAGATACAATATTCCTTACCAGAATACAAATCCAGTGAAAAAAGTCAACTAGCTTTCAAATGAGCCATTCCCTCTCCATGACACCTTACACATGCAGCTAAAAGATCATCACAATTCAGACTTTTAAATAAGAACTTGCTTTTCTGGTAAACTGAATCCAAAAGTAAGTTTTGAGAATTGTTATCATAAAAATTAATCATAAGATTGAATATAATAGTTAAGCTAGTACACTACACATTACATCTAAGTTTACAAAAATCAGATCTCCCCTAAATTTATATTTAAGAAAGTATAGCTCTAAGAGATGTGGATTGAAGTCCCTTATAGAGCTAAATCCCATACCACAAGCAACCTAACAGCAGCAGCTTCCAGAAGCAATCTGCATTCCAGACATATGCAATTATTTTAAACATTGGAAATTTTCTGTGCTATTTCATGTACTGCTTTCTTTGATTTGAAATATCAAAGTGGCCAAGAAATCTTTTTTCTAGATGAAAGTTAAAGCAGTGTCATAGAATACATTCATCAGGAACATCCCACAGCATTTAGAAACTGCAAAATATTTTTGCAGCCACAGAGAGACGATAGTCAGTGTCCAACTCTAACAGTAACTGGATTTGGAAAGAATTCAACTGGTACAAACTAAAGATAACCATAATGAAATTTTGAATGTATATTAATCTGGTTAATATCAACCTAATAAATATATGGCAGCCACACGTGTTTCAAAGTGGTGTTACCAATGAATTCTTACATTCATCAGCACAAGAAAAAGACTGAATCACAATAACTATTGATAATTAAAGCTTTTTTGATATTTTTCTGTTCTGCAATGAAACACTGATGTATTTTTTCAAGAATTACACTAGAAGAAAATAATTTACCTGAGAGAATGAAACCTCATGCCAAAAAGTGAGCACTTAGTTTCTAAGCAGAAACTGTTCAGGTATTCAGCCTTTTTAATGGTCTGTAATCTTAAAGTCATGATCTAACATTTGTTTAAGTTAATGAAAGTCCCTCACTGGTCCAGGTCCCAAGCAATGGAAAAAAAAGTTTTTATATACAACTGGAATTCACATAAAGCACAGCAGTGCTCTACTGAAAGAACAAAACAAACTTCCTCTTTCATCCTTTAAAGATGTTAGGACATTCACTAATATGCCCTCAAAAATAATTCTTTTGAAAGAACATGAAAAGAAGGTAAAAAACATGCAACCTGAGAATAGTGCTTTCTTTCTCTACCCTAATATTTATCAAAAGAATATTGTTATGAAGGAGCAAGTGGTAGTGAATGTGCAAACATTTTATCATGTTATTTTAAAGTCTTTTTCAATAGATCATTGTTCACCTGAATGTTTTATAAGAAGTTAATTTTTTGCCTATTTAAATATAACTTACTACAATCACAGAATTATGATTGAGTTGGAAGGGACCTTTAAAGGTCATCTAGTCCAACCTCCCTGCAATAAGTGGGGACATCTTAAATTTGCAATTGGTCTGCCTAAATGTAATAGTTGTGAATTTATTTGTTTCAATTGTATATCATCTTTTTAAGCTCAATTGTACTGAACTCACACCTTTTCCTTCTTCCAAGCCATTAATGAAATATTGTATTGTCCTAGGGGATAAAAAGTATCTCATGGGATATTACAATTTGGAGAAGAAAAAAGGCCCGAGTGATAGAATTTTTAGATAAACTTCAGAGAAGAGAAAAAACGTAAAATTCCTACCAAAATCTATATACCCAAACACTAAGTTTTCAGAAACACTAATTTTCCAAACCTTGTAGGTTTTTTTATTCTTACCAGCGACTTTACTTTCTAAGGTCTCACTCTCCCAAAGCGCAGTCTGTCTGTGTGTTTTCACTACGTCAAATGGCTGAGTTATGACAGCTGCAATCTATCAGGAAAAGAAAACAATTTTAATGTTAGTGCACAAACAAAATTTAATTTAAATTTTTAAATTAAAGTGCACACAACTGAAAACTAGATTCCATATTCCAAGCACATGATAGTATTAAGTCTTGTATGTCAGAACACTGTAATTTATTCAGATTTATCTGATCAGCTTGAATGCCAGGCCATGTGTGTTTAAAGTACACGTGCCCCAAAACAGAAATTTCTGAGAGAATCACCTAAAATCATACCTCTTTTAAATAGTTTATTAGTGATAATAATAAAGAGTAGTACTAGAAATTATATACTTACAGAGCCAGATGCTGCTCCTGAAGTAAAAGCAATAAGAAATGTAGGTTCATGTGCACCCACTTGCTTGCACATCATCTTCTTGAAACGTTCATAATTATACCAGTACATTGCTATGATTACAAAAAAATAAACTTGCATTACAAGAGATTTTTATGTCAAATACAGAAATTCTTTCATCAAGTACAGATGTAAGAATTCTACTGTGGCAACAGAAGCCAAAAGAAACAAGAGTTGAAAGCATAATAAGTGTCCTCTGTGCTAACCCATGGACAGATTGCCCTGTTCCCCTTATCTCCATATCCCAAATTTCTTCATATAATACAAATTAGCCTAATCATTTTGTCCTTCCCTCAAGTAACCCCTATCTTAATACAATCTAAACCAAGCACTATAAAACTCACATTCAATTTAACATAAATTAAAGTGTAGGCTTATTATTCACTATGTTTTCAGGCATATTTCACATTTTCATCCATCTCACTAATTCTATAAAGACGCGTCTCATGCAGAATGAACGGTTGCTCAGGACTGCTTCATACTTTTCTGAGGGACAGTGTAAAATTTAACTCTGAGAGAACCAAAAAGTACAATTTTGCTCCTTGGAATTACTAAGAGGAGAATGCCTTTGTGAAGACTGTCAAAGACAAGTCTGGCAAACAACTTTTAGGAACAACATCTGTTTCTTTGACTGTCTGCTGAACTAAACTGCACTCTTTCTGCTTTCTAATTAAAACTCCAAGCTATATGCTACCAGGCTCAATTATAGAGTCATTCCTTATGGCAGTTGGTCAAGTAAATACTTCAAATGATGGCTGCACATTCTGAAAGGTAACTGTGCCTTGGTCAGCACTGAGTTCTGAAGGCTGTGCCAGCAGAAAAAAGTATTTTCTTGCCACGAAGACTGCCAGAACATGTGCCTGGCCTCAATCATTTTGCAAAAGCAAAAGTAGGTAGTATCTCAGAAGGCATTCTCAGGGTTTGAGGAAAACCTACTACTGAAATGTACAAAACCCTAATTTAATATTAATTATCTAAATCCAAAACTTTGCTTAAGCACCTACAGGACTCATTTCCCTGAATATCTTTTATATTTACATTGTCTGCCACACTACTTAAAGAATGACTCAAGTATTATTGTTAACCCAGTTCTTGTGTTTATAAAGATTCACAGCTCAAGTTTTATTCAGTCTAGATAGCATCCCAAGGAACATGCTTGAAGCATATGAACACTTGGCTCAAACACAGTGGGATTCTAATTACTCTGTGCTGCTTAAGACATGTTGTACTGCTCGACTGTTTTTACAGAGGAATGGCTTTTTCAATACAAATTGTTACACTGATTTTAATTCTTGAGATAGCTAACTTGAGCTACCTGCAGAAAAGCTGTAAACTGTACTGTACGAGAGACTGCAATGCTGTGGGGGCATCATTCAAACTTAAGAGCTAAGACTGAATGCACTAAGGGAGCTCATCATAACAGACAAAGAGTATTTATAAGAAAAAAATTATCAGAAAACAGATTTGAAAGAGATATTAGGCAGCAATAAACACCCGTACCTTTATAAAATCAGAGTTTTGTGGCATTTAATTTTTTTTAAAATACATTGTCCTTTACTCATGCATCTACTTGCCTGCTCACTTTTGGCTCTTTAACAATAGTTCTCAAGCTATAAGGCAGTAGCGATAAGGCAGTAGCTGTATGTTAACTTGTGCCTCTACCTTTTCAGCATCCCATGATACCTATGAAGTACTGGGGACAGACAAGCACCCACTGACTGTGAAGTGAATGCCAGAGCAGTGTGGAGACTGAGTTAAAACAGACGAGCATGTTTTGGATCAGTGGAGGAACAGCAGGCATGGACGCAAGAATCTGAAAAGGCCTGAAAAGAACACACACATCACCTTAGTGCTCTCTTCCTTGTGCACTCCCTCACAGTGCTCTGATCTTCCCCCTCTGTTAAAAGCAGCAGAGGGAAGGAAGCTGCAGCCACACTGCTACAGACAAAAATCAGTAAGAGAACAAGAGTTTCTACTTGAAGTTAGACAACAGGGATTGGATGAAGAATTTGAGAGTTCCCTTACAAGTCTTAGCAGAACAGCCTAAGAGAAAGTTGAGTTTGGCAAAGAAAAATAAGTAAATTAAAAAACAAATACTGAACAGGAAGCACTTTGGACAAAAGGTTCTCTGAATTCTGTCAGTTATCTTTAGCCTTAGTGAAACCATGTTGTTGTAGGTAAGGAAGCCTTCCCTATCAGAGAAGGCTAAATTAAGTCCAACAAAAGAACTGGATCCTGAAACAGGAAATACATTCCAATCATGATTTTCAATCACCTCCCAGTAGCTAAGTGAAAGAACACAAGAGTATTATACATTCTGAAAAGAATACAGCTTAAATAACTCAGTTTACTCACTTAATTGCAATTTTGAACTAAATATCATAACCACGCCACACTTATCATGTCTTGGTTTGGTTTACAACCAATTTAAAATTTACTCCAGGTACACATCCAAATGTGCTCAAATCCCATAACAGTCCACACCAATAACTGGTCCACTAGATTGCTTGGAAACACAAATTAAATTAAATGTCAAACTATCTTAAGACTGAAGTAGGAGAACAAAGACAGCAGGTCAAATATTTCAAAGGTTCTCTGACTTCTAAAATAGGTTAGAAGAATTTTTCTGAGGCAACATAAGGTGTTCAAAGGTGTTATTCCTGGTACTATCCAAATGACAGAAACAGCTTCAAGGACGACTGATGTCTGATCCACAAGTGCTCTGACAAAAGTGGGCCTCAAAGAGACAGGGGCTTTTACCACTGGCATTAGCAGGTGCATTAGCAGTCTCCCCTGTAATATCTGTCCCCTCTATCTTAAGGAGAGCCCTAGGACTAGTTATGGTCTGAATCAGACTTTTTTTCTTCTAGGCTTTCACCTTTGGAGCTTTGCTAATGAGTGATGCTCTACCTTCATGATTTCTGGAGCAGCTATAGAAACTAATTAATCTTTATTCAAAAAAATCCTGAAGACACTACTGTGTCACTCTCTATACATGTTTTCAAAATTAAGTAACAGAACACTTACATAAAGGATGTTTACCAGATAATAGCCACTATACCTATTACAAAGAAAATTTCCTACTCAAAGTCTTCAAAACAGTCATTGTGTAAGCTAAAGATGAGAAGTAACAGACTAAGTACAGAGAAAGGGAATGTAACAATGAACCCTATCAGGTTCAAAATGGAGGGAAAATCATGTCCTCAGCAAATTTATAAATAAAAGCACTCAAAACAGAACGAATCAATCTCAGTCATTCCTAAAACTCACCATTAAAATTACATAAAAGCACAGAAACAGACTAAAATACTTATGCATAAACATATCTTCTGCCATAACAAAAACCCTGCATGGAAAATAAACCATACCTGAGAAAGGTATATCTCTCAGAACAGTAGAACTCCAGCCTCTCCACAGTGAAAACCACCCATCTGCAGCCACTTGAGTGCTGATGCACAGATACAGCTGCTTGTAGGACAACTTGCGATGCTGCATTCTAGTTCTGATCAGCTCCAGGGGACTCACCACAGTGAGAGAACTGACTGCAAAGGAGGAAAATGCTTCTTTTCAAATCAGCATTTAATAGTAATGTTTCCTGAACATTAAAGTCACATCTCATCTCACTTTATATATTTGATTCTTTTCAACTCTCCCGATTTTCCCTTTTCCTTCTCAAAATAAGTTTCCTTTCCAGATAAGAGCAACACATCTATTCACAGTACCTACACTTCCCAGTTTAGGGTTTTTTTCAATACTGGCCTATTGTAATCGATGTAACATGTTAAGAATCCTCATTTTCAGATTAAATACACAAATAGGCTGAAAATTTCAAGTACTTATAAACATTAATTTTCAATAATTGGCATTTCAAAGCGTAATTTGAAAAAAATGAGCTTGGGGTTTAAGGTTTTTTTTTGTGTTAAGGACAAAAATAGTCGTTAAAGATTAAGCTTTTATTGATTTCTAAGCACCCTTGCCATTCTTATTTTAAACTCTCAAGAATAATTAGCAGGCCATCTGTATCCGACAAAGTGACTCTCTTTCAGCTTGCACAATGGTCAGTGAGTCATGACTCAGTAACAAGCTCCCATCAAACATGTAATAGACCTTAACAATTTTACTAGATCCAAGAACTTTTCTTCTGTTGCTAGGATAAGGTTTAACATGTGAATTTAAAATCTGGAACAGCCTAATAAGAGCAATTTGCCACACCACCACAGAATAGCAATTCTTTTTCAACCAGTCTTTCAGTGTCCCAGGGTTGTCACAAGTAGAATATGGAACTACATCATCAGACTCTTCTAAGAAAGCCCTAAAATATATGATTTGTGTTACTTCTACAAAAAATAGATGAGGAAAAGGCTAGTAAGAAAATATAAAAGCACATTCAGTCCACTTCATATCATACAGCAGTAAAACCAGTCTAATTCTAAAAGAAGTCCAATTTTCATTTTCTTATAAATACCTGTGTAGCTGCCATTATAGAAAATAATGTTTATTGCTTGATTCATGACAGAACAGACTTAAATTAAACCGTACTTGGTAGAAGTCTAGAATATAAACATAAAATTTTGAACAAATTACAAATGTAGTAAAAGTGTAACAGCAAAACCAAATCACATTATTCCAAGTTACAGAGTTTTGTTGCTCAAGAAATACTGGGTAATTACAATATTCCTTCCTATCCCTCATTTAAACGATGGAAAATTTACTTTAAATAAAAATCAACAAAACAAACCCAAGAAAACAGCATACAGGTATTGTATTTCAGTTTTCTCTTTAAACAGGTGACAACTTACATCTGCTTAAGGAACCTGCAAGAACTGGAATGTATTCATCACTCTTTTTCAGTCTGTATTTCAAAGCTTCACGCAGTTGGTCATAGAGGGTAAAATAGATTATTGCGTTAGGAAGTGCCATTATTCTAAAATACAAGAGACATAATTTAAATTAATACCAGGAAAGCAGAAGAATAAAGGCAACTGTCTTGTATGGATATTTTACATATATTAAAAAAAAAGTTAAATCTCCAGCTGTGTGTTATGGATGAAGAAAAAGCATAAATCCCATGGCTTTGATTCACTGCCTCCAGTTCAGAGTTTCAATCCACAGATTTCCCAGGTTTTCATTTAATTAGGGGAAACTATAAGTAAAATGATGGTTGATTATCTTACCCAAAATTTATTTCAGATCAGCTTCAGAACTATTTTGATAAAGAAATGGAAGTGAAAGATCTGAATATGAAGAAACCAAACAAAACATTACAGAAGTGCTACTAACATTAAATTTTTATTTATTTAACAATTGGAGATTATTTTCTTTGTCTTAATCAACAGTTCTGATTCTCACTACTTGAGAGACAATGTGGTATTCATAAATACAAGCTATTTCCATTCCAGCACAGTACAGAGTATAACAGCAACAGCTAGATCTAAAAATCATTCAGTGTAGGGATAAAGCACCACATCTTACTATAAAATGGCAATTACATTTTTGTGTTATGTCCGTACCAATGTAGCATGCACCACCATTACCAAAAAACACTGAGGACTGCAATGCTTGGAAAACTAAAAAGCCATAGTTTAAATCTCTTAAAAACTGTGTACCTTTCTCCAATCAAGAGGCTAGTTTTCTGCTGGAGTACAGAACACATGTTGAATAAAAAACTGTATTGATTTAAATAGTTCAGTCATGTCCTAAAGGTTTATATTTTTAAACTGCCACATACTGCAGGATAAATAACTAGGCTGAGCTCAACCATCCTTTTCTTTCTTGTGTCTATACACTGAGCACTGTCTGCAAATCAAAAACATGTGGACCACTGCTTTCCTTCTGGGCCACACTTCATGTCTTAGAAGATACAACTTTAACATACATCTTAGATTTGATTACTTTCTTGGTTTATGGAAGAAGACATAATTATAGAGGTCTTAATTTCTATCTGTACCAGGTTAATATGAATAATATGTAGAGAGAAAATGGATTATCTGTTTTCCACTACAAAGTTGGATAGGATAAAAACCCTAACAAAGTTCTTTGCAATAAAGATGATGGTTACAAGAATTAAACGAGGGTAGCGAGGTGCAACACCAGAGCATCTGGAAACAGATGTGCTGCTGATGGAAAGTCATTAGTAACAAGATAGAACGGTACGTTTTTGTCAAAAAGTGTCATTCTTTAGTGATCACCTTCCATCCACCAAAGGAACAGTTATGGTAAAGATGCCACCTGTAAAAGGCACAATGAGAATTCTAATGTTTCGGCTTAACTACTGAGAATATATCAGAAAACTCTGGAGATCTGGCAAAAATAATACTGTCCCTAGATGTTTCTGATTGAACTGATTGCTCTGTAACTTCAGAATTGACTGAATTTTTAAAATAACTTAGAAATATACATAAGTTATCTAAATAATTAAGTAGTTTTTTCAACAATAACTCATGTTACCAAAACCAGAACATTCAACTTACAATGTAGGAGGAAGCCCACTCCACAGTGACTTAATTCCCTCTATTCGAATAATTTTCACAAATGCATCCTAAAAGTGTAACCAGGCAAAAGGAAATATTTAGCTACAAACTTTTGTAGTCAGTAATATATTTCAGCTGGCAGAACACACAATTAATATCTTTAAAAATATGTTTCTAAAGTGGATTATCATTGTAAGATAGCTTACACTAGCTATCATATTTAACCACACAAATAGTTCCACTGAGCTGAACGGAATAATTTGTGTGATTGAAATTAAGAATTTTCTTCCATCTTTAAGAGACCAAAGTAATAAGTGTTTATCCATGACTGAATGCCCTGTGAAGAGGTTACTTTCAGAACTAATATGGCACAGCAGCAACTTGTGGAAACTTGCCCAAAGTAATTCACTAAAATATTTTTCCAATACATAACAAAGATTCCAGGCACGAAATAGCAATTAATTCTTAATCACTTTTCAGTACTTGCTTTCTCTGACAAAAATGTGACAACATATATGCAACATATACACACTATACTCTATACTTGGAAGCTTGCAGCTATTATTACAGCTGCCCAATATATTCCCAGATGACCTGAAAGCACCATTAAAAAGACAAACTCTCTAATATTAGGATATCTAATTTTCTTAAACTTTTTGGGGAAAAGGTTGAGATTTGATGGATTAGAATATGCTTAAGACCCGACATTATCGCAGGGCCTCAAAACAGAGAATCTGACAGACCACAAAAAGGACTTCTATGAAGAAAAGGGCAAATATCTTTACAGGAGATAGCCTTGATGGACTAGTCCACTGAGGTAAAAAATTGAATGGGGAAAACAAAGACATGATTTATTAAAACAAACCTGACTAGTAAAAATGGAGCTTTGAAAGAATCCCTAAAAGATCGTAATGTGGTTGGACAAAAAAACCCCAACTTCTATACTAGTTAGTTAATATGCTTATAATCCAGCTTCAACAAATTTACAAAACAGGAAGGTATAGATAAAAGAGGGGACTCATTTTAATAAAGAAAGAGATCAACAATACTATAGTCATTCCTCTTTAAGAATCACCTTGTTACAGCAAAAATGGGCATAAATTCATGTCAAATAAAAAACTGACTTCCTAAAATTATACAGTAAAACTAATTGGAAAAAAAATCACACTTGCGAAGTTATTAATTAAAAAAAACACTGTAGAACTGCTGAAGTTGCCTTTTGCATTAACATCTCATTTTCAGAAATTTATTCTGAAAAATCCTCAATCACAGGTTTAATTTAATGGCAGAGCCATACAAAATCTTGATTCATGAACCAGCAGGACAGTGTCTGACAGCAAGTCTGTTTCAACTGTCTGGGAACATGCCAGTCCTACAAATTTCAATGGATAGAGAACTTGACACACGAACTTAACTTTAAAACACTATCTGTGTTGTTACTTCAGCTCAGGAGCATACTGGGAGATAGAAGACTGTGAGCAGGTAACAGAAAATCATTATCTGCAATCAGCAACTACTGGCAATACAGCTCAAGTGGGGAAAATAAAATCATAGAGCCAGTAATCTGTGAGGAAAGCTGTGCATCCTTGTTCATCTTAAGGAAGGAATACAAATTTTATTATAGAAAGTAGAAGGTATCACTAATCACCATATAAATTACACAGTGTAACCACACAAAGACCCTCTGAAATAATAACAGTTTCCAGAAGAACCCCAAAACACCCCAATAATTTTACAGTATGCTACTTAAAAATGTACAGTTTTATATACATGTAAAATGTTCTTACCAACGTCCCCTTGAAATTCCCAGGTTTTTTATACCAGGCTTTGCTGTTCCCATTTTCACAAACACATATATGATCCATAAGGCCACTGGAGTATACAAAACATTTTCCTAATAAAATGGTGTATAAGAATATAGTTAATGCTTGTAAGATCATCCTTACACAGCAGTAATTTCAAATTGGATATAATGGCAATACAGATTTATCTCTGATTAGACACAGAGGAGCAAAATAATCTTGGTCAGTAACGACAAATTAGGTAAAAGGAAAAAGGGAACAAATGTACTCCCCAGAGTGCCAGACTAAATGGAACTGCCTTCATAAGGCTCCAGGACACATGTTTATGTTATACTACCATCTGCTGAAGGCTAAAAGCAGCACAAGACCCAAATATCACTGTTGTATCTAACTGTGAACATGTTTGAGACATCAGAATTTTTATTAAGTAGCCTAAGCCTCCACATTACAAGTGGAAGTATTATATCTTAGGCTGGACTGTATTTATACTAGATCATCCTCTCTACTTGTTTTTTATTTCTTCTGCCTCATGTACTCTGAAACTGTTTGATAAAATATTATTGTCATTACAAAAACATACTTTGAGCCTCACATTTTCAGATTTCTGGCTTTAGAATTTACTAAAAATCAGGATAGAAGGCACAAGTATTTTTCCTACTTTACAGCAAGTGTGACTGCAAATATTCACCTCAACATTCAACATGCAACACTAGTCATCTTCTTTTCTTTTAAATTTCATTTATCACATACAAGTAAATAGTAGGGACCAATAACACATTTTTGAGAGCACAATGTCTTCATGTATTGAAAACCCAAGTGGCAAGTGACTTCTGTATTTCACAAATCTCTAGATTTTGGAGAAGATAAACTTTGATATAGCATCCCGACCACATAAGCCCTCTGATATAATATTTACTTATTTATTAATAGCTTTTTATTTTTTAACTCAACTCAGTATTAGTTGTACCTTATGCCATAATGAAAATATTAAGAAAGACAGGGGAAAAAAGCCTATTTAAAATGGTAGGTATTGATGGGGGTTTTTTCTCCATTGTTCACAGGCACATTCTTTCTTTAGCAATTTCAGTATATGTGTTGCTGTTTTCCCACCCACTTATACTGAAGAAACAAACTCACCGCTGTGAAACAAACACAAGCATTCTGCACCTGAGCAAAGCATTATGACAACTATCTGCTAAATACACCAGCAAAAAGCAACCTGTGTCCCCCAATACACTACATATTGTTTACCTTTAGGGAATGGATTGCTTTGGGCTTGCAGCCGAGTTTTGATAACATCAAGAGGAGATACTAAAATGAAACAGAAGTAATTTAGAAACATCCTGCACGGCCTGAAAATGCAGAAGTGTACAGATGTCTTATCATTAACTTCTACCTTTTTTTTTGCCAGAGGAAAAGAAGAGACCAGTTTTACAATGTAATCAGGCAGAGGAAAAGGCGATGTTATCAGACAGAGGCAAAGAACTACAAATCCTGTATGATTTGCAAGCAACCAAACATATCTTTTCTAATGTACTAACAGTTGTGCAGGCATCAAATGTTAGAGAAACACAAAGCTCATCTAAAAACCCTTGTGTCTTGTCTGAAATTGCTAAAACTTACTACATTATGCTCTGCAGCTAAACTTTTATAAGTAGAATACCACAAGGCATATGAGATCACAGTTTGGACTCCAGCATGTAAAATAGCACAGCATTCTTCATGTGTTTATTCCTTCTCAATAAACTGACCATAACAGCAACATTCAAAAGAAAAATGTTAAACTCATGATGTACTTTTCTTTTTTTTTCCCGTGTAGACAATATCTAGAGGACTGAGGCTGTTGATAAGTAAACGAAGGTTCAGTGAACATTTCACTGCTTCCACTCCAGCCCTTACAATTTTTACAGGCCTAGACATGCTGAACTCTACAGTGGCTGGGCAGCTGGATATTGACTGAGGGCTCAATTCAGTTGCCTACATACAAGCAGCTAGTGCCATCTGAGTCTCTAAGGCATCCAAAATACCTATCCAGTTGACAGAAATGACACAGGACCTACAACCTTACTCACCAAGTGGCAGCTAAAGTCTAAGACACCAGTATGTGTCTCACTGAAACATTCCTGTGCACAGGCAATGGAGTTACACCTTAGCTCTCCATTGATGCCTCTCAGTTCACTAACAGGTGGTGAATACTTGGCTCACATTTCAGTATCTAAATGTAGGGATCTCAATGTTACTGCTGCAGTTCAATTAAGTTGCTTAAAATTTGTCATCCAGTAGCATTTTAGCCACTCACTTTCGCTCGTCTCCAGGAGGCACTGCAGAAAGGAGTAGGTCTCCTATACCTCTCCTACATCTCTCTCGAATACCAGCACGTTACACTGTACTAGAATTGTGTGTATGTACCCACAATTGAAATCCATCTTGGGAATACCACAAGTCCGATGTAGCTTTGCTTGGTACTTTACCTAACGTCACAGGACACGTGGTATAAAGACAGAACAAAAAGATTATGAATTTGGCAGGTTCCCGGTAAGATACTATTTTGTAAACATTTGGAAATTTGTGGGCAGGGGGTGGGAATCATGCTTAGAAAATTGCATGTTTCTCTGCAGCTTAATCCACATTAGAAGTCAGAACCAAAGGCTATCTTCAGACTAAAACTAACGGGAATACAAAGTATGAGCTAATTAGCTTGGGGAATTTCAAGAGACGGGAAGTGCTGAATCTAACCAACCAATGACTCCTTAGGTTTGCACGGGGAAGGAGGTCCTCAGTGAGATGACTGAACATGAAGCAGAGAATTAATCCCACCAGCTATCCAGAAGTTTAAAAGAGTAATAAAAAGCTATTATTAAAAGCAATGTTTAGAGAAAAAACCAAAACCAAACCAAACCCTACAATAAAAGGTTTTGACAGTGTAAGACAACACAGCAGCACAAATTCTTACTACTTAAGTGGTAACACGTATGGGACATCTCACAGGAGCCAGCCTTGCAGGATTTGTGTCTTGTATTGTAAAGTAGACTTTTATTTAATATATATTTTTAAGCAGCAGGAAACATGAAAATTATTTTTTATTGATAATTTTGTTTCTTCTAGACAGAAAGCACTTAATAACTACAGCAAGAGCAAAAAAGAAAGAAATTAAAAGTTAATAAATATTATTCTTAGTTTCAGAAATGGTTAAAACTTATTAGGGACAGAAAAGATTTTAACTAATCACATTTTTTAAAACATACAAAAAAGAGAAAACTATCCAAAACCATCCTTGCCGAACATATTAGCGGAAATATGTATGCAAACATCATGATGAGTCAAACAGAAGAGTAATCACTTGTAAAGATTCCCTCTGTGGCAAGCTTGATAGTTTGCCTTACCAAGTAATGAAGTAATTATAGCTCCACAACAAGAGGCGATTGCTTGCTGAATAATGGTTGGTTTTTCTAAGTTGCTATCACTCATTTCAGCCATGGTTTTATCCCTGGAGAAGAAAAGCCTGTTAAGGAACAGAAAAACATATTGCAAGACTATACTCAAAACTTGCAGAAAAAAAAAATCAAGAAAAAATATTTTAAATTTTCATTAATGTGCTATGTATAAGCAGCAATATTGGTTTTCTCCTTGTATAAAAGCATCTCCAGAATTTTTGAGATTAGAGATTTAAGTCATGTAAGTAAATTTTCTAAAGACAATAAATTTTTTAAATCGTTCTTACACAAATTTCAACATTCATATGTTTTTGTAAAACACATTAAATCTTTAACATGGATTACCTTTTGCTGCAACAAAGTGTTTAGGAACATGTAAATAATCCACACAGAGATAAATTCCCAGCCTGCGGCCCATAAACTGTAGCACTGCAGAATAATTCATCCAGCCCTCCTCTTGGTCCCGTCACTCCTGTGAGAAAACCCAGAAGGGTCTCCTGATTGATCCAGCACTCACAGCCTGCTGGTGGTGACTATACTCTGGCAAGCTACTCATGTAACTAACAGTGACTAACTAGTATTAATGCTACTATCAAACACTAATTCCTTAAATCCTGCAGTACGGCTGCAAAGACATGGTCACAACAGTTTAGGAACATACAATATCTGCAACTAGTCAGGGCAGACGAGAATAAAAATAAAAATATTTCACAATACAAAATCCCCAAATAAAGACATATCTTTCAAAATGCACGTTGTGCGAAAGTGCAGCCCCAGCTTTATTAGCTGTCACTGATCTAAGTTTTTTATCTGCTCTACAGAAACATTATGTCATGTTGTTTTCAAGTTTCAAGTGAAAGATAAAGCTGAAGCTGCATAAAACAAGACTTGTCTCTCAGGTGCTAGCAACTGTTAACGAGGGGTATCAGCGGGGAAGAAACTGGCTTTCTTAATGTATTTGTAACTTAGAAGACCACTGCCCAGAGTAGCGCACATACATACCCGTTTATGAGCAGCGCCCGGGGCCGTGCTCTCCGCCATCCCAACGCGGTCCCTCAGGTGAGGCGAGGAGCGAAGGAGGCTGCTACTCCTGCCCCGCCTCCCCACCCACGGCCGCCAACCTCCTATCCCAGGGCCTCCCGCCCCAGAGCCTTCTTCCCTCCCTTCCCTCCTTCCTCCCTCCCTCCCCTCGCTCCGCCCCGGCCCGGCCGTTGGCGGCGGCGGCGGCGGCTCCGGGCCTGGCGGAGGCGGGAAGGGCGGTGAGGGGGCTCCGGGCAGCCCGGGCACTGACCTCGCAGGTGGCGACGGCCGCGGGGCAGGGGAGGATGTGACTCAGCGGGAAGATGAAGCCGAGCGCTGCTGAGGCCGCTGACAGAGCAGCTCGTCCCCGTAAGCGGCGGGGTCTGGGGGCGGCCGGGGGGGTCTCAGGCCTCTCCCAGCGCCAGCAGGGTCCGTTCAGCCGCGGCCAGGGGCCGGGGCGGCCTTCCCGCCTTCGGCTTTATAGTGGTTTGGGGAGTTAAACGGAAAAGCTTGGCCTTGGCGCTGACTCGTTGTCTTTTACAAGATAATCGCGGGGCAGGGAGGCCGTGGGGTGTCTGGGAAATGGCCGGGCCGAGGCCGTGCCAGCCGCCGGGCGGGTCTTTGCTGGTGTCGGGGGCATGCGAGGCTCCCTAGGCCCGCGCTGTGAGAGCGCGGCCGCCTTTGCGGGAGAGGCTCCTCGTTGTTATTGCAGGCCTGCTGAGCCGCTCCGAACTTTTGATCATCCCCGGGAAGTTTAAAATGCCTGCTCCAGTGTTAGTAGTGTTTAATGTGTTAATTTTTGTACTGCCCCGGTCATCTACAGAATTTCGCTTGCACGCCTGCGTATCATCGGTTTTTTCCTTTTATATTCTGGATCACTTACACCAGCTTATGCCTCCCCATTTTCCTGTTTCTCTAGGTGTTTTTGTCTTCTAGGTTCTCCAAAGCTGACTGCTCTTCCTGCCCCACTTAGTGTGTTCATAAACAGAGAACCTTGCAGCACGAGTGCTGGTTCTGCTCCCTCTCCTATCTGAGAGTATTTCAGGGACGGAAAGAATACTTTATAGAGGGACTGTTTTGCATGTTGGCTTTTTGTGTCCAGAAGAGGCCTACTCACTTCCTTTAGCAGCCCTCATTGTCTTGGTAGCAAATACTTGCCAAACTGGTGAGAAAATTGATAGTATTGTATGGCAACTGAAATTAAGAGTTCATTATGGGATAATATTTTAAGGAGAAACTTTTAAGGGCCATATGAGGTGTTATTATTAATGTTTGGGGTTTGACATGTTTAACATAATAGCTGTTTTTTAAAAGTCCTGTTAAAGTCCAGGCTGGATAGGGCTTTAAGCAACTGATCTCATGGAAGGTGTCCCTGTCTATGGTGGGGGATTGAAACTAGATGATCTCTAAGGTCCCTTCCAGCCCAAGCCCCATTATATGATTCTGTGGAAGCTTGCCATGTCCATTGCCATAACTTAGGAGTTTTCCTAAAAAAAAAAAAAAAAATCTGTTTAAATTGCCTTTTTTTTCCCAGCAGATGGAATACAAGCAAAACCAGAAAAGATAAGGTCTTCTCTCAAGAATGTGAAAAAAGATATAGGAAAACCAGAGAAACTTAAATATAAGCCACTAACTGGGAAGGTGTTTTACCTCGATATCCCATCAAATGTGATCTCTGAAAAATTAGGAAAGGACCTCAAAGAGCTGGGAGGGGTAAGTTTATAATAGAGACTTGTATGAATCTAGAAGGAAATCTGCACATGTGGAATGTTTCTTTCATGTTCTTTATGTTATTTGTACTTTATAAATAATGTTTGGTGTTATTTTTACTTTATCTGTCAGGGGATTTTATTTTTCTATGTTTGTCTTAATGTTTAATACAAACAGTGATCTTATCATTAAATTATTCTGTGTTTTTTTGAGAGAAGCTACTTTGCTGATTGTAACAAAAGTGTTTATTATTAAGGTTTGTATTCAGTTGATAATTCACTTGGCTTAAAATTTTATCTGAGTTTATTAAGTTTCATTGTTTGAGGTGTTTTTTTTCTGCTGCTTCTGACTATATTGACATTTTTACATGTTACAACTAATGTTATTCAGCTGAACTTGAAAGAAATTAAAGGAAGAGTTTTGCATATGCTTACTGTAAGTCAGTAACTTCACTAAGTACTTTTTGCACAGGGTATGTTAATGAGTATTTTTGAATACTCTTACTTAAATAATAAATTTTATAAGCATCTTACTAATTTTTTTTCCTAATTTTCTCTTCTGTATGGAAGAAACTTTGATACAAGCAAGTACAGGATATGTACAGTAACACAAGCAGTGCAGTTGCTTGGTTCACTTTAAAGTTGAATATTTGACTTGATGTAGAGAAAACTTGGCCGTTAGAGAATTCAACACCCTTTAAGCACAGAGGCAGAAGAGATCTGCTTAAATTGCTAGCTATTTTGAATGCTGCTTTAGCAATACTTCTTTGACCTCAGAGGAACACTGAGCAGCTTTATGAAATTGATGCTTGTAAATCAGGGTGCTGTCTGAAATCACAGGAGCGGTAAGGAATAGCAATAACACGGTTTCAAATTAAATGCATCATTTTACATTTACGTCAAATAAGTGCACCCTGTCTTTCGTCTTTCTGAAAGAGAATTTTAGGAGTTCATATGTGAAAGGTAAGGTTACAAATCACAGACTGGAAAGGAAATTTTTCTGGCTTATTCTGAGGAGTAAATGCCTCAGTCTGAGGTGCTCTAACACCCTCAAGATCAGTTACCACGTTTTGTTGTTACTTGTGTGGAGTGCACTCAAAAGTGCCTCTCAGTATCTTGTTTCTGTAAAAGGTGCCTAGAGCAGCATTGAAAGGCACAGTTTGAAGCTTGCTGCCTGTGTGATTTGTGCTTTCCAAGCTGATGACTTGAAGAGAGGAAAATACATTAAGCTACATAAGCTGACAAGAAATAACAAGGCAAATAGCTGATAATCACACAGTAGTTAGCAATGAAAGACTGAAGAAGGAAAATGGAAGAGAACAAGCATAGGGTAACTGCATATTTATGTTGCTGAGTATGAGAATATGAATCTACTAAAGACTTTACGTTTCTGAGAAGTGTCATGAATATTATAGGTGTGAAACATGGTAACTCTCCTGAAATTTTAATTTTTCTGCTGGTTCTGAACTCAGTAAATTTATAGCTTCTTGCAGATTAAAATACCTTTGCATGCACGTGCCTTTAAGTTTAACTGAACACTTCTGTGTAATTTCTGTTACATAAAATTATGTAGACAGTGGTTTTCCTTGAATTATTCTGTTATTCCTCAATGCAGTGTTTGAATTTTTCTATTTGGAAAGTATTACAACTAGATAGTCCAAAAATGATAGTAACTAAAACATCGCAAGGCTCTTTTGATTAAGATTACAAAATTAAGAAACTGAACTTGTGAATTTGTGACCGGTAAGACGCTAGTGCAACTCAGTTTTTACATTTAGAAAATATCTTCTTGTTAATTCAGTGTTTTTGTACTTAGTTATTCTAGAAGTTTTATCACTTTTCTTTTAAGTATGCAATGTAAAATTTGAGGTACTGATCTTATGTCCTGAAATGGTTACTTGTTTTATATCTCTATATTTAGAGGGTGGAGAGTTTCCTTAGTAAGGATATCAACTATCTGGTGACTAATAAAAAGGAGGCAAAATTTGCACGAACTCTTGGCCAGATTTCTCCTGTTCCTAGCCCAGAATCTGCATGTATTGGAGGAAATGGTTCACCTCATCCTAGCAACCGAAAAGATCAACGTGATGGAAGTTCATTTAAGTTGGTAGATACAGTAAGTTTCTTAGCAATAATATTGCAAATTGGGTACAACCCATGGGATATGGTCTTAGAATTTTCCTTCTCTTTAGTTTCCTAAAGATGGCAGCAGTTCTTTCAAATATACTTTTCAAGTTATTCAGGCTAACTTGTTAAATTTAACTAACTCAAACTAATTCAGCAGTTTCAGAAACTAATTTTAAAAAGGAACCTTTTTATGCAAATAAGCAGAGTATACTAAAGTCCATTCTAAGGTAGTATGTCTGACTTACAGTATTGACATTATTATGTTTGACAGCTGGATCAATGTGGATAGACATGTGATGGCATCCAGTGATTCCTCTCTCTTTAGAAACACAGCCTAATAAAGTCTGACTGATGTGTTGTTAATGCAGATATCAACAGAAACACTCCTTGATAGTAGTTCAAAGAAATAATTAAAATTGAACATTATGACTACTAAGCTTTTTTGAGCTCTTTCTTAGAGGATCATGTTAATTGCATGTAAATTGTTAACTTAATATCTGAATTTATGCAGGTTTATGTGACATTTCTTACATGGGCAAGTCTTGTGTCCTTTCAAAATACAGTTGGAAGTAATTAGCTGTACTATGTATGTGGTACATACTAAGAAACATGACTGTGAGTCAGTCTGGAGGCTAATCTTTGCATTGCATAGGTGAGATTGCCTTATTTTGTAAATAACCTGGATAGGCAAAGGCAGCTCATTAGGAATAAGCGGCATAAAGTACAAAAGGAGGAGCGCTGGTGATAGAAAACAAGGTGATGAGACAGAGGCTATGATTATATTTATGACTTAATTTGCACAAGCCCCAGCTGATGAAACCTCATCATCACACCATTTGGTGTGTGTCACTGGCTGCTTATTCCCAGCATCTGTGTTGTTCCAGCACTAACACTGCTTCAGCCATGCAGTGTTCTGCTTTGGCTGAAAATGATTACTAGTTGGGTTTTTTAGTTGTTTAGTGTTTTGGGGTTTTTTTCTCTTAGACTGTATCAACTAACCCTGTGAGGAAGATGCACGTTACTGAAAAGTTAGCAGTACAGTGAACAAAAGGAGACTCTCATAACTAACATGTATTTGTTAACAGCAATGTAAATTGTCTCAACTAGCTACAAATGTGTTTGTGTTTTAATGTAGGTGCGTATGAGCAGAGGAAAATCCTTGGTTGAAAAAGCAATCAAAGAACAGGTACACGAAGTAATCAATGAATTCGTGCTTCAGAAACTTTGGTTTTGCTTTTTTAGAAAACAAACCATAGTAAGAGTGGTCATAGAGAGAAGTCAGTCTTCGAATGCTCAGGCAGAAGTTGAGGGATTGTCCTAAA